AATCATACTCTATGCCCTGGGAAGTCTAGAAATTTTCCTATCCGAAAAATTCCTAGACCGGACCGGGATTCGGATCCAGCCACCTCTAACATGGTATTGCTTTGTAGCTCAATAACCATGGCTTTAATGACCAACTAGTTTAGAAAAACTACTCATGGTTTGCCAAAAAATGTCCAAGAATGTATAAAAAAATTACTAGCGTAATTTAAATAATAATTTAATTTGATTTTGAATATCCAATCGGGCAAAACTAAGTATTTTTTTTTTATTTCTAAGACAATGAAGATGGTCTGGAATGTTTAATTCTTGTGCTGAATTACAATTTTAATAATTAGAACATTTTTTGTAATTCGAAATTCGATACGAAATTACAATTTTAATAGTTCTGATAAACCTAAATTGCAATGGAAATATAATATGATATAATCGTTGACATCTGATTGGACAGAATTCAATTCATTCGACAATCTTCCTAACATAACAGTTGGGCGATGCGGAGAGATTTATTTTTAACGTTGGCAGCGCTGAAATAATCGATTCATAGCCTTCGGATGGCAACAAGCTCCAACAAACTACATTTTGCGTAAAGCCTAATCATGACTCTTCGATTGTTTTTTAACGTTTGAAGATTCGTTTAAGAGAAGGGAGAAGCATAATTAACCATTTTGTTATGCAAACGTTTAGAGAAATAATTTTGATGGTTGGTGACATTGGTTAGATTTTGCTCAATTCAGGTCTTAAATTATTCGGATACAGACCTCAATCCGTTTCACCCAGCATGAAAGTTAACAGTGAAGTGACATTTTTCACACACACTTTTAAGTCCTTTTTGGATCGGTGAAAATTATTTCCTCATGGCTATTTATTAAGAATTGATGACCTTCAGCGTAAAGCATGCAAACATTTAGGATCTTCCTCCTAAGGTTACATACAAAGAGCATCCACAGAATATTGGAAACTTTCCTTAGGGAATTCAAGGGTCTACTAGATTACGTGGTTTAATAAAGTTTTATGAGAAGATTAGAGGTGCTATATGTTATAGGTGAGATTCGGTAAGGTTAGAATAGGCCCGTGACTTTCTTCAAAAGTCTTGCAGTGTCCATTAGATGTAAAATTTATTGTAGGGTTCTTTTTCCTATCAGAAGATTTCAAAACTTTTCCTGGATATTCAATATTCCAATTCCCGTTAAAGATACATGAACGCGTTATATCATATTTATAAAAGAAACTGGATAAACATATGCTTACCGGCCTTAATAGCAACATAAACTATTTGCTGTGAGGCTCTTGTATTTCGATGATAGTTCATGAGGAAAATATCAACAACCTCTAAAGTTTGTCATCTTCCAAATCCAAATTCTGTACGTCAAGCATTACACACAGAGATTATTTTACTGGGGTCAGTAATTTTTTACTGGGTTTTCAAACAGCTGAAAAAGTCAGTAAACTGAAAATAACGGTCACACGTAATGCAACGAACAATTTTAACATATTTTATTTTTATCATCAAATAAATGTAATAAGAACACAGTCTGTATAAATTTCAAGAAAAAATCACTTTTATACAATTTTTTACAATTTTTTTAAGTTTACTGACTTTTTCAGCTGTTCAAAAACCCAGTAAAAAATTACCGAACAGGGAGGCCGTGATTTTGTGTGTAGGTTTAAAAATCTTTAACATTTTTCTTAGATCCATTCGGGATCCTAAAATTTTTATTGAAATATGACATTTCAAAAGCTACTCGATTAAGGAAATTTTTATCTACTTTAGGTACTCGAAGTTATCAATCGCAAAATTTCTGAGGTATGAAATCTCTGATCACGCCTTCCTTCGGGAAGTAAAGCCGTTGGCACCGGTTTATGAGTTGATGGGTCGATAGGCAGGGTCCAGGTGTGGGAGCTGCCTCTCTAGCGTCGGTAGCATTGGTACTCAGTACAGAAAACAAGATCGACGGAAAGAAAATCAAGGGGAAAAAAACTACTCGAAGTCTCAATATAAGAAATTTTCGCTGTTAACTATGTTTTTCATATATGTTCTGCAACTTCATACTTGGATCTCGAAATTCAGCTTACATTGTCACTATCTTGATGTCCGTTTACACCTATGTTGCTGGAGCCTGTCAGCATGATGTTTTTCACAACTGATGAGGCATCAACGAACTTGACCGGTTTACTCCAATTATGGTTAAGAGATGAACTAACCTATGGCTAAAAATCTCTCAAATAAAGGAAAAAAAATCCAATTATGGTTAATCAGCATTATGTAAACTACCAAAATGACATTGCAAGTTTTATCGAGGTTTTAAAGCATTTTAAAAGTCTATATCATAGTCTACAGAACTCTCATAAAACCAAAATTGTTATTTGAGTAGAGAGGGTCTAGTATAAGAGAGGAGCGGACTGGCGGGTTTTGAGCCAAACGACCTGTCAAAGCCAGAGCCAATCGAGCAGCGCCTATCTTGATTGCATTGGCAGTGTTGCTAGAAACCACCTAGGTATGGTTTGCAAACCGGCCATGAAATTCTACCTAATGATAGGCTGAAAGGCTTTTTACGCATCTGTAGCGAGCGTTTGGCCAGCTCTCAATTTAGTGTTCTAGATGCACTTCCACAGTTATTAATTGAGAACATTCTATGCCAACCAATGCATGAGTTTGTATATTGTGTCTCAAGCATACTGATACTCTATGCCCAGGAAATCAGGAAAATTTCTAACCTAAAAGATTTCCTCGAACAGACCGAAAATTGAACCTGCCGCCTCCAGCTTGGTAATACCGTGCCTTTACTGACTAGGCTATCTGGGGCTTCTTCTGAAGGGCTGGGTATCATCATTTGAAGGAAATCTGTCCACCATAGTTAATGTAACATCTTGTGTGTCACAAGGTTCACATCTTGGTCCATTACTGTTTATTTTATTTGTCAACGATATTGAACATATTTTTAAATTTCTTCACGTTTCTATATATGCTGATGACATGAAACTTTTCATGGAGATATCTAAAGCACCTGATCTTCAAATATTTCAACATGAAATTGGCGTTTTTTACACATGGTGTTAGAAAAATTGGTTAGAACTAAATATTAATAAATGCAATTCTATATCGTTCACAAGAAAGCACGCTGTAAAACACAACACAATTACTCTTGGCCAGAAAACAATCCAGAGATCCTATCAAGTCAGAGACTTAGGTGTTATCCTCGACACCAAGTTAACTTTTGCTGATCACTACAATAACATTATCTACAAAGCAAGCAACATGCTTGGGTTCATTAAAAGATTTAGTTTGCACTTCAATGATCCCTACACAATCAAAACACAGCATAGTTTGGGCTCCATATCATGATGCACATGTAAACCGCATTGAATCAGTTCAAAAGCAGTTCTTGTTGTTTGCTCTAAGAAAGTTGGGTTGGACGAGTTTTCCACTTCCATCTTATGAATCGCGTTGCATGCTAATTAATTTAGATGAGCTCAAAAAGCGAAGAGAGTTCGCAATGATTGCTTTTATAAACGATGTGATTTCGCAAAGAGTTAACAGCCCAGAGATTTTGGAAAATATAAATTTTTATGCTCCCTCTCGCTCACTGCGGAATAGAAATTTGTTTAGCATCAACAATCAAAGAACAGATTATGCCAAAAACAGCCCACTGAATAGAATGATGTCTTGCTATAATGCATACTGTGAATATATTGACACAACAATCAATAAAAGTACGCTTAAAAAAACTTTCTTCACGAGGTTAGCTAGGCATCAATAATAAAATATAAATGTTATGCAAATACTTGAAGTAAAATTGTAACAATTAGCGTTTAAGTAAAATTGAAAAACGGTCTACACTGATCGACGACAAATTAATATATAAATTAACAGGAAAAAATAAGAATTTATAAAACCTAGATACTAAGTCCATGGTCTCAAAAGCTCTTCAAAGCCAAGGATTCTGTGAATTTTGAATAATTTACAGAATCAAACATTCAACTAGGATTTTGAGCCTTTGAAGCATTTCGAAATTAATTTCAAGCTAGGTGATTTTTTTTAATTCTCAAGACATAGAAAACAAACGAATCAGAATGTGACGATTGAAATATTCGAGGGGACTTTATCAAGATCTCAATATACATAATGTATATACATAATATCAATCAACTACACAGTACTGTTTAGCAAAATATCCATGATTAATAATTTTGCTAATCAAAATAAAAAAAAAATCAAGAACATAAAATTCAGAAATTTATCGAATTATTTTTTCTGAAAATGTATTGAAATTTAATGTCACTAAGAAGCACTACCCTATTGCGAAAAAAACAGAAGTCTGAACTAACAAGCAACGAGCGAGCAGCATGCTTTTCATGCAGATTGTTTTTTTTTTATGAAGCTGTTTGTGACACGATGGCTCTTTTGGACACTTATTTATGACCTACAGTGAAAAGGCAGTTAACGAAAAAAAAAAAGATTTTTACTTTTCTGTTCCCCCTGAAAAAGCTGCATCAATGTAGAAATTCCATCGGGCTTGTGAACAAAAAATGGCATTCAATTTGCACGAGTAAAATGTTGAGCTTTCAGCGTCAGTTGGTTTTCTACTTTCATACATACAACTTAAATGAATGTCACTATGCGGTTACAGGTGGTGGACACATTTTTTCTCTGATAAAATGCTCAAATGTAGCACGGACAAATCGATAAATCAGTTTGATCAGTCAAATTTAAGCAACGTTGCTCAAATCGATTTCGATTGCCAGAAATCAAACTAATTTACCGCGTAAACACTGGTCCCACTGCCAGCGTAGCTTACTCGGTAGACATCTATGGGAAACAACTCGAGGACAGAAAGAGGTGAAGTTCAACATGCACGTGCTGTTTAAATGGTGCAATCAAAGATAACTAGCCAAACATAAACACAGACAGACAGACAACGGCAACAGCATTAACGACAGAGTGTGCTCACTACAATTCTCTCTCTCTCTCGTGCAAGTGTAAATGGTTGTTACTCTCTTACCGGACAGTGACTGATGTATCGAGAGCTCCAGATTGTACAGACACCTGCTCAAACGTGAATGATACCTGTGGAACAACTTTATATCTGTGGGAAGTGGAACGCGTGGTAAATGAAATGAATGGAACATCGCCTACAGGTATGCTAAATTGTTACCTTTAGCTTAAAAAGGCACTTGTTCGATTTTCAGTGTTAGGTGTAATTCAATGTTAGTTCGCTAACGAATGGTTAGGGCAAAGAAATATGCAATACTTACAGCCATCGTTCTTCATGAGTTGCCCAACGGGCACGTCATCCAACGGACCATTTAACATCGAAGAAAGCAACTCTTCGACGAACTCCCGAACTTTGACCTTTTGGTTCGAAGAAATCGAGGACGTAGAGCTTTGGGCATCATCTGAGTCTGAAAAATGATTCAAAGTTACCCTTAACAAAAAGTTATGCAAGCATAATAAATGACAACATACCGGTAGCAGTCAATCCAAGAAGGCCATCGTTTTTCAAATTCACTGGACCAGGATTCTGCAATCGGCTGGTGAGTTGACCTAGCAACCACTCGCCTGCTTTTTGCTGGATCACCCGACTTGAGTGACAATTTTGACACTCCCAAATGCCGATCGCAGGGATCCACTCGCTGCATTGTTTTCCCTCGCTCCGGCACACTAGTCGCTCGCAACCACGACATGTTGCGAAACTGTTGGTTTGAGAATCAATCAATAAACGTGACCTAATGATGGCCAACTTTTTCTATTCAAGGCAGTTATTTACCTGTTTGTGTCCTCGACTTCAATGTTGGCGTTACACATGTAGCATGCAACATCTGGCTTCCGGATTTCCGAGCGACGCCGTTGGCTGAGTTTGCTGGAAATGAGGAGAGAAAACATTTGTTAGTTTGTCCTAATACTTTTGAAAGTTTGTTTTTGCAATGTAAAAGATGAAAAGACGATGTTGTCGTTAAAGATAATAAAAGTATTTATACGGTATGGTGATATTGGTTTCATTAAATGATTTTTCTTCGCGAAATATAGCCCGACCTGGAAAATAATCTTGTTCCAGTTTTTACATGTGGGACCCGTACATCTCATACAAAAAATAGGCATTTTGTATAAGGTGTACGGATTTCGGTTCATTTCTTAGACCCTTGGCAAGTCACCAGCTTGACCGAGCTGACCAGCAAAAGGAATAAAAATTATTTATTAAATCTTTTGTCCGCTTGGGCATAAGCTATGCCAGGGGCCTAAGGTAAACGGATTTTGGTCCCGCGTAATATACGAACTATTATTTGGTGAAAAATTACTAGTACGCTATATAGTATCATAACATTTCTCGTAAAAAAAAACTTGTAAGAGTATATTATTGACAGTTCAGAGAAAAAAATAACACTCCAACTGACAATGGCAGGATGCCTTTAAATCTAAGGTTGTCAAATAAACTGACGCAGGAGGCTATTTTTCTCTAAATTGACAATACAAATCAACGCTTTAATTCAATATACAGTAATGACCAAATTTTGTCAGCCCCTCCACGCATCACATAGCCGTAAATCCAAATCATTCTCATCCATATTTGAGATTGATGAAAGGTATGCTATGGTGCAATAAGACCACTGAAAAAAGCGCATAGGTTTGGTAGAAAATTTTAAAAGATCGGTGTTCACTTTATACAACATTCAAATGGGTAATCAACGGGAGGTTGGAAAATTTTATCATGTTTTGAGAGAATATTTGAAAACTAACAATCCAGAAAAAAAAAATGTTAAATATATAAACAGACGACACTGTGCTTGGTAAGGGTGCAGGGTTGTATTTTTGGAATACCCAAACAACTATGTTAATTGCGAACAATTCAGGAATTATCAAATCTTTATCAATCCTTAGAATTTAAACCTTTTATTTTAATCTTCTGCAAAACTTTTACAAACAAAAATAACTAGAGAGCTTCCTGAATATTAAGAGCAGCTAAAACTATCACAACTCTAGGAACTTATTGAGCTCCAGTAATTCTAACGAACTATTAGAAACGAATCAGGGAACAACGTTTAGAACTCCAATGAATGATTGTACTCTGAGAACTTCTTAAACATCCAGCATCTCTAAGAAGTCCAGGAATTTGATCTCCAGTATACTTTAGAGCTCTTGGTCATTCTAATAAATTCTGTTACTCTAAGGTCTACGCATAAAAGAACCGTAGAACACGTAAACACAAGAATTTCAGGGAATCGAACAACTCTTAACTCTTGGGAATTTATACGTTAAAATCATTCAATACTTCCACAGTAACTACAGATCTCCATAAACTTCGCAGAAACACTTATAATCCCTGAGATCTCTTAGTTATAGTGATGTGGGAGCTTTCACACTTCCAACAATTCTTCTTCTTCCAGAAACTTCTCGATCTCCTGCAAATTGATAAACCTTCTTGAAAATTTTAAAATCAACGGCTATAAAAAATTTATAACTCCTTGAATAATAAAAGCTGTACGAACTCCTGGAACCACTGCAACGCTAGCAAACGTTTGAACTCATGAAAATTTGAAATTTTCCGAAACTCAAAATTCATACCTCCAAAGACTTTTGAAACTTACTAATACTTTATATTCTTTCAAAATTCCATCAACGACACGAAAATTAAAAACTGCAAGAACTCTGAGAAATTTTGGAAATCTAGGAAAATTTATCTTCTGAACTTCTAGCAACATTTTCTAAGATAATGAAATTCTGGTACTCTGAAAACATTCAAAACATCCAGCATCTTTCGAATCTGAAGTTATTTTTACCGTAGCCCATGAAACAGGGAAGGAATTCTTTATCAATTCTCATATCTCTTGAGTCTTAAAAAGGTAAACTTCAGTACGTCAAGAAACTTTTCGATCTTCAGAAACGCTTAGAACTCCTGAAATCTCCAAGAAATTATGGTACCATAAAACGGTTGGTCAATTTTTACCGATAAACTTGAATATGTTGGCACTCAAACAAATACCTCTCTGATTAGCAAATGCTTTTTAATATGAATGAATTTAGTTTTAAAATTACATAAAATAGCAAAAAAGGTTGTCTTCCATTTATTTCCACTTAATTAATTTTGGTATCCATGACATATACGTATTTCGACTACAATGTGCAGTCTTCATCAGTGTCATTCCCACTAAAGAACTTATCAAAATCTAACTTCAATCTAATCTAATTTCATTAATTCATTATGATGGCTACCAAGCCTTAAGGAATTTTTCCTTATAAGAGATTTGTATCGATTTTTCTCCTTTAGTTTACTTAAATCTAATTTCTGATAAGGATTCAGCGATTCAAAATTAATTAAAATAAGTAATTCCACAGAGCACTGCACTAGAATAAATGCTCATTACGATCAAATTTTGGCACTTTACTTTAACTGGTAACTAGTGGTTGACACGAATATCATTCGCCCTGGTCAGACAGCCACGCGCGCTACTATATAGAAACGCAGCACCAATAGGGGATCCATCATCTACATATAATTGACGTCGTTTCATTTCTCTGTCGATTCAAGAAAGCAATGTACTCAAAATGTTTCAGAACTACCCCTGGTCAGTTTTTCAGTTTAGTTGCCCTCTATAGCATTCATTGTACTTCGTTATTAGCACGATTTGCCTAATGAATATTAAACACCGCTTTTAAAGAGTGCTCCGTCACATGGCCTATTGAAAATATAGCTATAGACAGTTTGACGCAAGTATTCGTTGGAAATTGGAGACTACGCGAAAAATATTCCAATCAAATTCCCTTCACCAGTCGTCGCAAGTGAGAATGTACTACCCATGTACTTGCAGTCGGATGTTAAGTTCTGAGTTTGATGAGGAAGCCAACAGGTAGACTGGTTTATCAGGAGATAGTAGTTTCATATAACATCTCTTCGTTGGTATCATTCCCGACAGATCACAGTGGAAAGCAGAAAGACTGTGACCTCGTACAAGTTTGTCGCCTCATTTCATAGCATTGAATTTATTGGAGCTATTCCGCAAATCAATTGAATTAATTAAAAATTTAATCAACTGCCTAACCGGTTGATCACCATTGCAACCAAGGGATAGGCACCGAGCATTAGATTATCCCAGCGAATGTGCGGTAACGATTGACGACGACAAATCTGTTCATTTTTTTCCTAGGATGCTTCAGTATGAATGAAAACTATGCGAGGGGATTACGTTCCACGGGAATTCGATTTCAGTTTGTGCGAGTGCATTGATCGGGTGAAGTCGGGAGAACAAAGTTGGCGTAGGGTATGAAGTGAAGTGAAAATTTTGCAACCCAGCATCATGCGGCGTGGCTTGCTTGGATATGGAGAAAGAGGTGGAGAGACAATCGTTTGAAAGTGGTTAGTTATTGAACAAGAGGATTAAATAAGAGAGGACAGTATGGTTTTTCATAGAATAGAATAATGGCCGTTAAACAATCAACGGTAACATAGTTGTTTGAACTGCTCTTCTGATCTATAGAGCAGCTTAATGGCTTCTCGATGGTCATTTTGTTAGATATGCAATTTCAATGTTGACCGTTGACGTATTCAAACAAAAACTGGGTGTTCATTTGACAAATGACACACAAACTAGGCTATGCATTTTTTATTCCAGTTTAAATTTACTGATTAGGACCATAAGATAGGTCACTCTGCCAATATGCACAATTAACAGGTCGATTGCGAGAGTACAGTAACTGTACAAGCTTGATGTATTACGTCTGTCAACTAGTTATTCTGACTACCGTTGAACCATGGTGCATAATAACGTTGTTTTACAGTGTGGGAAACAAAATGTTGGTAATTCAATGTTCATTAAATTTTCAGTAGTTCTAAGTTTATCTGATTATGTGACTAAATTTTGAAAGCGAAGTTCATAACACGCACAAATGTTGACCTAAATGGGTAAACATTGATAACCTATCACCACTAATGCAATCTTCGATGTACCCCCCGACTCACTACCTAGGATATTAGTCGCGTAACCCCAAGAGGCGCAGACCAACCGCGAGGTTGCTTTTACTTTTGCGATCCACTTCAAAGGCGCAAACTATTCGGCTTGTCACGTCGCTCGTTGGCTGCTGGGGCCTAGTGTTTTCCGCATGCCGCTCACAGCTGATTCGTGTTTGAATGTAGAGACCTACCCGATCGAAGAGAGCGCGTCCACTGGCTGGAGAAAACCAGTCTGCCCGTCTCACAGAGCGTCAGTATACGTACTTTAGGGCTACCAGATGGACGCGATCGCTGCACGAGCAATCGGTATAGTGTCAAGTCAACGGTTACTGCCAGCCCTAGTGTGGTCGATCGCGTGCGCGAGAGAGCGAGTCCATACGGCTCAAAGGTGGGGCAGCATATCATTATACATGTTAAGTAGCAGCAGTAGGCTTAGCAGTGCGAACGGGTCGTACCTTTTCTGGACTGTACGGCGTCATAGCCTGCGATTGAGCCGCCGCCGTCGTCGTCGTGTTGAGAGGACGCAATCGTTTGCTGAGTGAACAGCTCGTCTCGTTCCTATACACTCGATAGTGCAGCAAGCGCAACCGTAGTGACTTAATGTGGTGTTTTAAACAGAAATCGTGGTACCTACTATACTGTGAACTGAACCGTTGCAGCAGTGACAGTGCTAGTGCTAGGAAACGATTGCATCACGAATAGATCGTACTTGATCATTACGGTATCTAACGTAAGTTAGCTGAACTATCGCGAAAGAATGTGCTGAGAATCAACAAGTCATCATGATTCTTTCTGCATTCCTGGTAGAAACTTTTACCGTGTTGGTGGAGCCCCCACCAGCGATTGGAGGGATAGTTGGTAGGCAACAGTTAGCCTTGGGGAAGGTGCAACCTCAAGCGAACATTGGAGTGTTTATG